TAGAGTAATATTCTGTGTACATTTACGTCTTCTTGGAGTTCATAGCAGCGTGTGCCATCTTTCTCTCTTGGCAGAGGTCTGTGGAGTTGATGAGCTGCTGGGAGTCGGGATCCGCCTGGAACACGATGCCCTACCCTGCTGCTGGCCTTGGGAAGTTGTGAGCTGCTCATGTCCATAAGGAGGAAGGATGGCTCATGGAATTCCTTCACAAGGCAAAGTTACCATAACGGTGGATGAATACAGCTCCAACCCAACACAGGCGTTCACGCACTACAACATCAACCAGAGCAGGTTCCAGCCGCCGCATGTGCATATGTGAGTACTTGTTGGTGGCATTGCCTCGGCGTGTGTCTGTGTGTGTCTGGGTGGAACACGTTGCTGAAGGAGCAGGCTGAGAACTGGGAAAATTGGTTATCCTTACATTAGCTAATAGGCAAAATGGTTATCATATTTCTCCTGTGGTGTGACTGAGGAGCACCACTCCGTCATCTCCTGGAGAGAACTTGCCCAACCACGACTAGCAGGGCATATTCCCTGAAACTTGTCCGTGATGTCACTTCAACTTGCCTGAGGGACCCATTGCCTGAAAATTTAAGCTCCCTTCCCCCAGCCTTTACACTCAGCTGCGAAATAGGCCTAATTGGGACTAATTGTCCCCCCTGATCACTGAATCCTTTGTCCTCCTGGTTGCGAGTGGAACGTGTGCCGCATGCTGCATTCCACCCAATGCACCCCGCAGCACAAAGCAGTCTTTCCTCCCAAGAAATACAAATAACCTCCTTAAAACAAGGTCCCTGGCCCCAGCTTAAACCAAAAAAACCATGGGAAATGGGGGGGCTGAGGGCTTCTTACTTCACCTGGTTATTCCTGGGCTTTGTGGGGTCTCTGCTGCGCAGTCCATAGGCACAATGGTTTGTGTTAAGGGCTAAGTACCAGTTTTAACTCTGAATTTCCTTCCCATTGTTCAGTTAGGGTTGATCTTTATCGGTTATTTCTGTGAATGTTCTTTTCCTTTTAGCGTTGATAGAGTGAAAAGCATGTGGAACTAAAACAAAGACATCTCTTGACCTCCTGCGAGCCATTGTTAGTCAGAATTGTGAAGGATGTCACTCTATTGAATTTGATAAGGATTTTGCACAATAAGGGGGGGGGAAGGTTGCTTGCTACTTCGTTGCATTCTTGTTATGTAGAAGCCGTTCCGGAAGAGTCACAGTGTGGGAGTTCAGCACCTTCTAATAGGATTTCACGTGGTTACAATCTCCCTAAAGGCAACTTTGGGAAGAATGCTGGAGAGGGCTGTTGTGCATGTGGCTTTTCAAGGTGGAAAAAGTTTTCAGTAATTGCATTTGATTTATTACTAAACCGATGGTGTAACTATTCTAGAAACATTTCGGTTTCTTGAGGCACTTTTCAGAATTCCCATTTCTTGATTCACTTCTCAGACCTTTTGTCAGCTAATCTCTGTTGCAGGTTTTGCACTCCAAACTGACAATAAGTACAGATGTTTTGTAGAGAATGAATTCAGAACAAACAAAAGAAATGGAGAAAGCAGCTTTAAAGAACCCTTTGTTATTGACATTGATTTGAGTGGGAGCTGATTTTAGGACCAGCTAAGTGTGGTGCTCAACACTGTAAAAATAGCTCATGCCTGTTTTCAAAAACTCACCGACATTCAGCTACTTCTCTAGCAGTTTGTGTACCTCTTAAATGCTACTGACTTGTCATGTCTTAGAAGATGTTTTACTTGTTTGGAGAAGCTGTGTAATTCTAGTAAATACTGAAACTATGAAGTGCAGTATAGCGACAGTATTTTAAAGGATTTTTAACTGAAATGCTGCAGCTTTCTTAAAATCAGCCATTTGGTTTCACAGAATGATAAAAATTTAGAAATAATAAAAAAATAAGAAAAATTTAGAAAAATTGTGAAGGGATTAGTCTCAGATTTGCAATGGAAGCAAAGAAAAAGATGTTGCAGTGCAGGAGGCAAGTTCAGGTGTGGGTCTGGGTCGCAGATGTCAGGGGTTTAAAAACCTGTTGAGGAAGAAGTGCTGGGATCCTACCTGGTGTCAAGAGTTGTGGGTAGAGGAAAGCCGGGGAATGAAGACACAACAGTGGCTGTGGGGTTGCGTGGTGGTAAGAACATAGAGTTATTTCTGGGGAGGAGGGACTAGATGGGGGTGGTAGCTTCAGAAGGGGTGCTTATTTGTCTTCCCAGTAATTTGTAACAGAAGCATTGTGGCCATTCCTGAAAGAGCCAGAAACCTTAACAGAAAATAAGTAAAAGCAGTATTAACACAGAAACCATCATCTTTTTATCCTATTTTATCTTTGCTAGTACCACATGGCTGCAGCTGCCAGGATTGTTCAATTTGATTTGTTTGTGCAGTCTGCTATTCTTTTTTGCTATCCTAAAGTAACGCATTTATTTAATGTTTGTTTGAGGATGTTTCATTCCGTTTTAGTGAAAAACTTACGTAAAAATAAATTATATAGGATGATGGAAAATGAGTAAAGCAACATGGGAACTGACTGTGGCGACGTGTATGTGACTAGCAGGGCAATATGTTATTACAGGGCCCTGCTGCATACCATAAATCAGTAGCTTGGTGCAGCTCAAGGACAGTGTTCTTTCCTGAGGAAATAATTTTTCAGAAGTAATTTCCTTATGGATATGCATCTTCATGTGCAAAGGTGAGAACAGGATTCTTGGCGTGTACTGAGCCAGTTCTGCGTCTGGAACAGCAATTTTGGTAGTTCCTTAAGCTCTGGTACAGTATGATTTTTGTGTCAGCTTGTCCAACCTTTGTATTTTATTCCTCTACTAACTAATGTTTGAACAGGTGTTCTAAAGGCAGGTTTTACAGTTGTTTTTTTTGATAAGGGGGTATCCTGTTAAATATTTTGTCATCTTGAAGCAGTGCTCCCACCCACAGGTTTCCCTTACTTCCTGAAGATGTTACCGCATGTTTGTGTTCGAATGCTTTGTACAAGTAATGTTTACTTTCAGTTTTAATTCACTGCTTCACCTCAGTTCCCTGCTTTAAAGGGCAGCTGCAAAATACTAACAGTTACAATATGCCTCCCTTGGCTTCTTGATGATCATTATTCTTACGCAAGTCTTTGTGCTTTCCCATTTCTTGTCAGGATTTGTGACTTCAAGAGGCAAATGCTTCTTGCTTCTTCAGTGTAGGGCTGCCAAGTGTTATGTTAATGCATTTATTTATTTAATTAAAAGAAGGGAAAGAAAAATATCTTAGGCCTCTTCAGACCCCTTGACACGTTCTGTATGAGGTCAGTGGTGCCACCAGTGCCAGTGAGCAGAAGTAGGATTCAGCTTCAGCAGCCACCACAGTGGGTCTTTAAACCGTTTTAATTAACATGAATTATTAAAGCTTTGTTTTATGGAACCTTCTTCTCTCACCTGTTTTTGTCCTCAAATCAATGGAAAGGAGCCGAGTTGAAAATGTGACAAATCCAAATGTAAAATTGTTTACTCAGGTTTAACCAGAGGGAAAAATCTTTCTGTTTGGGTACAAAATGCTGTTTACTTTTGGGGGTGGAGGGGAAAGGAAGGATAGAGTGAAGTAAACTTCATGTATCTGTCATGGAAAATGCCTATTTGGACGTGCCCAGCTGGTGAGGATGAGGGAGTTTTGTGGAGATAAAATAGCTGAGTGGGAGCTGCTGCAGGCTGAGCATCAGCTTTCCTCTGGTCTCACCAGGATGGCTTGTTCTTAGGATACTTGGAGTACACGTTCAAATGCTGGTGTAGTTTAAATTCAGAGGCAGGGGAGTAAGAAAGATAGAGGTTTCTGTGCCAGGCAAAAGCGTTCTAAATGAGTTTATTCATACCTGGAGATACACCGAACAATCTGTTACTATATAATTTTACTGCCTTTTCTGTTCTGGAGTAATTCCCCATGTGAGTATTCTTATTTTAAAACAAAGAGTGTAAATGGAGTTTATGTTAGTAGAAATATCTATGTATTGTTGAATAAAGTATTTAAATATATGAGTGTGTGTAAATGTGTATAATAATAATAATACAAAAATACAGCTTTGTAGTCACAGAAGAAAAAACTTTCAACTGTGACAAAGCCTTAAATTGATAAAACTCAGAGATCTTATTAGACTACTAACCTTGAGAAATAGGATCTTGCATGGTTTTTTTATTGGGGAAACCATCCTGTATTTAATGGGCTTTATAAACTCCCACTGAGGTTGGCAGGAAGTCATGCGTTTGATTTGTAATACTCTCAACTTTTGTTTCATATAAGGTGTGTGTGATACTTAGGAGAAGGGGGAAACAACCGGCGTTCATAGAATATGGACCTACTTGACATTTCCTTTCTCTCACCAGTCTCTCGGTGGCATGTGTGGCTGCTGAAGCTCAGCAGTTTACAACCTGGTGTAAGACCTAGTTACTCCTTTTGCAAACAAAAAAAAAGCATAAGGTGTAAACATAAATTTTACATATAAGATGAGAGTAAAAAGTTTTTCATGGTGGTGCACTTAAATTTAAAGCCTTTTGAGATGCTGGAGTGGAGTGTGCTGAAAGTGAAGTGTTTGTACATTGGGGGATATAATGGTCGGGAATGGCAGTTTTGTAATTAAACCTCAAATTTAGTCCCCTTGTATTGTGCTTATGTGGTTGTAGTCACACTGCTAAACTCGCTTGAAAAATTTAAGTTTCTGACCTTTAAAAACATGTCCTGATGTCCCTGGAAGGTCGATGCTATGAAAATGGAAAGTGTCCCTGCTATTTATTTATTTATTACTATTAACAACCAACAACAACAACGTAGGACAGGTTTAAAACAACTTTTTATTGCTATTACCCTATTAGTTACATTGCCCTGTCCTAAGATAGAAGCCAGGTCTTCTATCTTGGTGATAAAACCCTGTATCTCTAGTGCTCCTGGGAAGGGGCTGCCAGAAATTTTCATTACATGATTTGATTCTTTTTATAAGAGCAAGTAATGATAGAACAAGGGGGAATGGCTTTAAACTGAAAGAGGGGAGATTTAGGTTAGATACAAGGAAGAAATTCCTCCCTGTGAGGGTGCTGAGGCGCCGGCACAGGGTGCCCAGGGGAGCTGTGGCTGCCCGATCCCTGGCAGTGCTCAAGGCCAGGTTGGACACAGGGGCTTGGAGCAACCTGCTCTAGTGGAAGGTGTCCCTGCCCGTGGCAGGGGGTTGGAACTGGATGAGCTTTAAGGTCCCTTTCATCTAAAACCATTCTGTGATGCCACGTTAATACTATTACTTTGTAGTTCATTTAGTGGTCAGTCATACTGAGTGCCAGCTGACTTGGG